TAAAATAAATATTAAATTAATGTTGTATTTAATGTATTATACATACTCTTGCTGTTATTGTCTTCAAGTTTCAGTTTCAGTTGTTCTATTTCTTGTAGTCTAATCTCTGACAGTTCCTTCAATGATGCTAACTCTTTCTGAGTATCTGTAGAAATTAAATATAACTTAAGGAAAACTCATGCATATACAATACTACAGTAATGTAAGCAAGATTATCCTCTTGATATTAATGAGCATTGATACATAAATAAAGCCTCCCCATTACCAGTTAGTTTCTTACCAATCTCTTTTTGTCTCATGGTAGCCTTTAAGTCTTCAATCTCCATTGTCTTTCTTCTACTAATTGCATATTGTGTCTTTACCTTCTTATTCAATTCATCAACAGACTCTATATAGTGTACATCATTAGATCAATACTGACTCTCATTAGTTGAGCTATACCTGTTGGTATATGTTCCTTCTCTTGTTTTGTTTGTAATTTCATTTGAAGTTCTTGTACTTGTTTCTCCTTCTCAGCTAACTGTTGCTTCATTGACAATAGTTCTCTCTCCATGTCTATGTGTATATAAACCACATTAAGAGGTTGAATATTACACAGGTTACTGTATACCTTCATAATTATTAACCGTCTTTTTGGTAGGTTGCTCAATTTCTTTACTTGTCATTGCTGATAATACCTTTAATATAATACAATAATAATATAATAATAATTGTCAATTGTTCAAGCCATACCTCATGAGCAGTATTGTCCCATATAGTACAGTTGCCTACTTTAAATTCCTTCAATTCTCTCTTTTGCATTGTCCCTATCTTATCAAGGACAGCCATTATCAGTGAACTAATGTATTCAGCAGGACAATAGCAGGTCACTACAACTGATTGGCCAGTGCCAACTCTATCAATCTGTAAGTGGTACTTATATTTATTAAGTGGCTCCAGCTCATCCAAAACATCATTGATATCTTGTAGTGTATATTCAACAGGATTCCAATTGAAGATAAAGAAAATGGTTTCGCATAAAAGGCGAGATGGAGTAGCAACTGCCTGTAGCTCCTCACCAAGGCAAAGACTCACTGATACAGACTTGCAGAAATCCTTAGCTTTCTCTTTGAAAGACTTAATGACTGGCTTAGCTTCTTCTATGCTGAACTTAGAAGCTAAAACTTCAAGGGGACGCAAGTTAATGATATTGCACTTCCTCTTCAATACATTTAATACTTCACCAATGGTTTCCTTGTAAGAAAGTTGAGGCTCCAGATCAGGATACCAGATAATAATAAGCTCTTTCATATAGTCAATACTCAATTTCCTTTCTGTAAAAACATGTTTGACGTCCATAAATGCCGAACCAAATATTAATCTCATCACTTCAAACTTATCCTTCATATCACGAGGGAAAAGGATTTCATGTTTATCAAATGATGAACCTGTTAAATTAAAAGTTATTTATAATTATTGTTAACTATTTTTGTATACTTTCTGAACTATAACTAGTAAACATAGACTTTTGTTTAACTCACTATATTCTTTAAGGATAGCATCACCAATATGAGCAGTCCCTGAGAACTTCCTCAACACAGTAACAAACAACTCCAGGTGTTTGTAATTGGAGTGAACAGCATCTCGTACAGCTTTGAGGAGAACTGCTCTACTGTCAGAGACAGAACCTCTGGTAGACATGACACAAGACAGAGCCTCATCAGATATAACCACCTCTTCATGAAGCCACTTTGCCACACGAACTGGTTCAGTAATTGACTGAGAGAGAGCACTGTAACTATTCCTCAATATATCACTAGCACAATCTTCATTACTGACTACTCCCACCTGTGGTTGTACTACTATGTCATCCTCCTCTCGAGGAATTTTCTCTATTATCAGAAAAATAATATTCATAAATTGGTAATAACTTGACAATAATCAATATCTTACCC